ATAAACGTAGTTTTTCCTGTAGTGAAAGCTTAAATGGTAGAGATTGTTGTCGAATTTCTAAAGCAAAATGCATGGATAGAACACTAAAATCAGTGAATTTTGGTTGGATGGATCTGGGTGACTTTAGACGTGCATTTTCCTATCAGCATTTGGTTGACTTCTTCCATTCAATACAATATTACTAAGTTTGGGAGCAAAATCGCAACTCTGATTTGTCTTTAAAAACGAGCGAGTCCTCTTTATTTCCGGATTTCCTCACAATCCTCCGATTGTCTCGAGAAAGTGCATGCTGGTGATCTCAAATTCCTGGGATTAAGGCAGATTTAATGGTGATACTGAACTGGTGACGGGTCTTATTATACTTTGACTCAAGGGCTCAAAAGTGCTTTCGATCCAAATTGTCATCCCCCTCCAGACCTAGCTCGCCTAGAGCCGGATTTCATGATAAGGTGACGAATCTCTACGATACTACGATAAATCAAGATGACAGCAACGGGCACAGCCATGAAAGCTATTTTGTAAAGACAAGTATGTTAATACCATGTCACCCAAAGACTTCTTTTTCGCACATATGCGTTTGCGGCAATAAACAGGTAATAGGGATATTGGACCACACCATATTTTACCGGGAAAAAACAAATTCTGATGAACTGTTCAAGAATCTGATTGCTTAAACATTTTGAATTTTGAAGGTTATAAATGATAATTTAGGAATAAGCTAATGAATTTAATGTTAAAACAGGTTGATTTTTAAGATAGACTTTGTAAGTTGACTAAAGAAATCAGAAATAACTTACCATCGTTTTGCAGAAACATGATTTAATTTGTTTAATATAACACTAGTTCAATAATTTGTTTATTCATTGGGTTTTATCTAAAGTGAACGCAAAATTTTTCAGGGTTTCAATCTTCAATGTGGCGATGTAGGGTTTGTTGAGAATCCTGTCTTGGAATTGTCCAGAAAGTGTAAAATTTCTAGTATTTTGCATTTTTTTATATGGTGAGAATTTTAACTCAGCTTTTGTTAGATTCGGACAATATTCGCGGTTTGTAATACCCAATTTCCAGCAATAGGGAATCATAGATATTATTTCACATTGTCGGTTTCTCAGTCAACTTTGGTCTTTTGAATATACGGATTGTTGTGGGGATTGGCCCAAGGGCTTTGGCTAAAGTATATTTGGAATGAAATGACATTGTCGAAGTTTTCTTTTCCTTAACATAATGAAGTTAGATAGTAAATTTTGTAAAATCATACAATTCGCCTAAGCTGTCGCGCATCTCATCCCCTTGAGACCTTCACGCCCATGTAATTCAACCATAAATCCGTTTCTACAACGTAATAACAGTTTGGCTTTATCAGGCGTCACGCATAATAAACCTAAACATGTCAATAGCAACTCCCAAGATCAAAATATGCGTATGTATATTAACTGAAACCTAAATCATGCTAAAGAGCATTTCGGTGCCTCCGAGATTCCCATTCAGGCACGAAGGGGTGTGTGATGTCTGTAATGTTGTACGACCTTTCAACTGTGCCAATTTACCTCACGTAACGCCCTAGAGCAAAGCCAAAAAGGGCGTTAACAGGCTCGGTGGCTTATTTACCCTTAGGCTAGACCTATGCGTTGAAAAAAATTCACCGCACGGTTTGTTAGCCAGTGCCAGCGTGCTAGAATCAAGCATTTCTAAGATGTTTGAGCTTCAATTGTCTACGTGACCTCGTAGTTCTAGATTCTCTGCCACGGCAATCGATTGCCAAAACAAGCGAACGCCGCTGGGTTAATCACAAAAATGTATAATGGGATAAGCCTTGATTTACAGCATAACTACCTCAAATGCTGAGATCAACTTCACCGAAATAACCAAAAAACAGGCAAAACCGGGGCTGGTAATGGTTGGTGATATATGTTAAACCTTTGCGCGACATCAATCGTTGCTTTTTCCTAATCCACTTAGTCTATGCAGATAAAACTGGAGTTAAGCTCTAATGCGCTCACGTGTGCGATAAAAAAGTCAGGTGTTTTGTTTTATTAATGCACGTTCGCTTAATTAGACAAATTTCCTACCATCCGACTATGCTTTTTCGTACACTTATTGGGGAAACTCTCCCAGTTTTCATAATTATTTATTCGTCAGTTAAAAATTTGGCCTTAAATTGAGCTTGGATAGACGGGATGAATGTAATGCCAGATAGCGATGCTTTCGGACACTGGTTGCATTTGTGGTAGAAATTTTCGCATTATATTTATTCCTTCTCCCTGCATACCAATAAGAACCAACTAAGCTGGTCACGTGTGATCGCAGTGTTTTTAAATGTTGACCCAACTATAGTTCAGTGCTAAATTCTTACACGGCATAAACTGCTCTACTTTGAAGATCACCGACCCTAGTCGCTGTACGCCCTAGAAAAGCAGATGAATAAGTCCCATTGCTTTGTAAAAGGGTTTCCAGATTCTCTTAAATTGGTGCTTATCAACTTCATTATAAATGACTGAATACCCTTCTCCTGTCACTCCTAATGACATAGCATATTGCTTTTGGTACTCTGCCACTCCGTCCAAAGTAATTCTTGATTTATTTGATTGTTATGCTTCAAGCTCTGTTTGAGCAACCCTTGCAGGATCCATACAACTCAAACCCTAGAATAATACCACCAAAATGCCGCCATTTCGTTACAGTGGGCATTTTTAACTTTGATAAAACGTGTGTACTTTAATGACTGTCAGTTTGTGTGTGACTGCGGATAATCGAAATGCAGTAAGTCGCCCTGAGGTTACTTTCATTCAAGTTATGGTGTAAAAGTGGCTATGGCGCATCATTAACCCAACTATACGAGTTGATGGGCAAAAATAACCTGGAGCATGTGCCACGTTTTAGTTTGCGCGCGTTAATTAATTAGAATTTTCTGATTCTCAACTCTCAAGGGGATTGGTTAGTACCGTATCCCTTAAATCCCTGTGTGAAATGTAAAAGGGTTTAATTTGGTTTATCAACATTAAGATAATCAGCTAAAGCCCTCTTCAAAGTGGAGATAGTGTATCGACGCGGGAAATTCGGTTGTAGTTAATTCAGACCCATAAGTCATACCCCCGTTGCACAGCCCTGCACAAAGACACATTAGGCCTCGTCCACTTGGTCTAGTCGCCTTCTTATCACCCTTTCCTATTGGATTATATAAGTACCAACGAAGAGTAAGGCTATACTATGGGTTCATTATTATTAAAATTGGGACCCAATGCGATCGCAGCGCACACCCGGTATCTCAAAACAGATAATGACATTCGCCTGGATCAATTAACTAATCAAATGGGACGTTTCTAAGAATGATCTGGTCTTGAATACAAGCAGTGACCTTCGATATGAACACGTTCGACGTTCTACGGTGGTCAGTCGGGGTCAACTTAGCTGGCGCACCAACAGTAACGTCAAATCTTAGGCTCTTCTACACTCGTTCATTTCTCCTTGGACAATCGCTTCACTTTATCCTAGCCTATTACCATTTATCTAAGAACTTGACGGGTTAAATTTGGCTTCCTCCGTTCTTGACTCACTCTCACCTAGATTGCCTTGACGCTCCACTTTCAACTAGATTAATTTGCCTAGAATTTCTCATGGATACGATCAATCATTGCGTGCTACCCTTCTTACGATCATTCAGATTCCCTGATTTAAAAAAATTGTCGTCAACAAAAATATAGTCTCAAATATTTAAGTGTGGCATATAACTATCATAATCATCATCCAATGCTGCCCAATTGAGTTTATCATTTATCAGTGACAATCAATCGCTTAGCTTCATCAAACGTGCAGCCAACCTCCCAGATACCAGACTGGAAGCAAAGACTGAGTCCTCAATATCAACTCAAGGCAACTATTTCTTGGTAATTAAATTAATTTTGATTGTTTTATGACGACAAAATTTTTGGCTTCCAATTAGAAGGAATGGTTTATCAAAAACTTTCGCTAAGGGTAATGAGTAGTGTTAACTCATATCCCTCAGCTCCGTCGCCACTACTTCCAATACCTTGTCTACCCCTCCCCCCTCTTCTCAGAGTCTCCGCCGCTTATGCGAATGCGTCTGATCACGCAACCCTGTGCACACGTTTCCCCATCGGTCTCACCTACCACACTCCCAGATTGACTGGTCCATTCGAAATCTTTTGTCCATTCCGTAGACGAATGAGACTTATGAGAGTGCATGACCTTGTAGGCACAATTGTGGAACCTGGTAAAGGTTGTATTTCTCCGAAGCCTTTCTTCTTAACCTTTCTCAGTGGCTGCTTAGCGTCACTGGAGCTTACAACGTGGCGGTCCCGATGCGCTTTGAGACCAATTTTGTGGATGAAATATTTGTAGACATCCTATGGGATAGACTTAATGCAGAGAAATCTAAATATGTCGAGATATAATATTCGATAAGAAATTTGAAATAATCTTGTGAAATGTTAACGTTAAAAAAATAATGGTAATTGGCTTCATTGTTTTGCAGCTGTTGTCATGACTTTATTAGTATTTAAACAAATAGGAAAGAATCACAAGTGCAGTAAATTACTTTCTTTTTGTTAAATAAACGCAAAATATTCGAGTACGATTTCAGATTAAGGGATCATCCACAACAGAAAATATCAGCTTTTGAAGAGGTTCCTTTGAGAATCGAAGCGGTCAAAGTTGCCCGGAGCAATCAATGATTTCTCCGCTAGCACAGGTTCTGATAATGTATCAGCGTTCTGTGAAAGGGTTAGGCAAACATTCGTTCTACACCTGTGGGCACTTTACATTTGTGCGTAATTCAGTCGGTTGCTATAGCGACGTAGGCGTTGCAGAAAATCTCACCATTTCCCACATTCCAAACCCAAATAGAACATTTGCCAACCTCAGCTAATTGGAATCTCAACCAATCAGATTCGTCGTTCTCTTGATCTCCACCAATCACAGTGCAGTAGTCCGCGATTTGTCATGTTCAGAAACGTACAGCATCAATAGCGATTTACAGTGTGATGCTCCGAGAGCAGAAAAACATTGCCTCTTCCAGTAAAATGACTAACAGCGATGTCCTTTTAACAAGGACGCGGGCACACATCCGGCGGGCAACACAGAAACTCCGTCGAACTATGATAACAGCAGCCGATTGGCCACCTCCTACCGTTGTTTTTAACACAGAGTTGTCCTCAGATGAAAGACACTACATTTCAACAAAAACCATTCAAAAAAACCAACCAGAAAATACCGGCTACGATGAGCCACATCGTAATAGCTCTAGGTTGCTGTACTGCTGTTTTCAACTTCGACGTCGGAATCGCTCTCCTGAAGGTGGGGACATTAAAAACAGCAGATTATCACAAATTCTGCTGGATACGTACAAGAGATCTGACCATCTGACGGCTGGGACCCACAGTAAAAAGAATTCAGTTTCTGTTAAAAATCTGGTACTTCGAACGGCGCCTGACGGTTGCCTAATATGTTCTGACAATGTGGACGTAGAGATGCTGATTGCGGGCTTCCGGGAGTTCGAGAGACGACTTCAGTACGGAGCCCTTATGCCCTTTGCCAATGTCCTTCCCAGCTTCACTCCAATTCGGCCCGAGCTGATCCAGGAAAAGGACACCGAGGAGGTGAGCTCTACGCTGAAACCGATGAAGGGAAATTTTTGCGGTGAAATCAGAGAAGTCGACGAAAAAGAAGCGTGTGAAGAATCATCTGGTGCCCTTTGTTAATGCCTTTTTTCTATCAGTAAGACTAATGCGTTTTGTGTAAGGCAGTTGTATTATACATACGAAGCCGAGAATGTGGCAATTTCATCAGAAAGTTATGTATTTACTATGGCCGTTTTGTTACTTTCTTTCGGTATACGATAATTGGAAGTAACAAATAGTTCCATTAGAAATACTCAATAGTAAAGCATTGTTTCCAGCATTGAATGAGATTATGATCACTTTCGAACGAATATATTCACATTTGCTAATATCCTCATCGATGAAAATTATCCCGCGTTCTAGGCTTGAAGTGAAGCAGTAACTATTGGTTACGCATTCTAAAATGCCTTCTGTACCCTGTTTGCGGCTTTAGCATTAGCCAAACCCTTTGGTTAATTACGATAAGCATCCGTTCTGCCGATATTATCGACAATGAATTAGTGCTTACTGTTTCGATAACTAATAGTTCGACTGACTGATTTTTAGAAATGACAAAAGGGGCAACTCCTAAATTCTGGTGGCGTCTCTACCCATTTTGTGAACCTGTGATGGGCATTAATAAAGAGAAAATACCTCGTGGCTTGTTAGCAGAGCAAAACAATGGCTAGTGAACCATTTTTCTGGAGAAGATGGGAAGCGCATTTCCGATTACAAAGAAATACGCTGCAAAATATTCTCGTTTCGTTAACATAGGAAGCCCTGATTCTCTCTCATGAAATGGGTAGTGGTTTTATACCTGAACCAAAATTCGCACAGCAGGAGGTATTTCCTTAATTTCTGATTAATAATACCATTTTAATTTGGAAATGTTTGTTTAAAAGAAGCGTACGGTGTCGCAAATGTGAATCAAAACTCAGATTTTACATTAGCATGTTTTGGCCATCGATATAAGCTTGCTAACCGTGGAACACCTTCATGTCCAGCAGGTAAATAAACGACTGTCTGCCAGGTCGTGCGGCCAAATCACGATCTCCTTTGTGATTGGGTTATAAGGGTGTCAACGGGCAGTGGGATTATCAGGCAGCTGCATCTCTGTCAAATCTGACTCCTCCAGGGCACTTGCTTATCCTCGTGTTTTGGGTGCAAGTTTTCATCCCATCAAATCCATCCCATTAAATCCTAGCCAGGTTCTGATCGTGGTTCAATTTTGAGTAAAATGTTGTTTGCCAGTTTTGCAAGGAGCAGTTTTACTAAAGCCAGTGTTTAAACCCAGAGGTACTACGCTGTAAGCATAAGTTTAAGCGAATGCCTTAAGTTTTCGACCCTCACTTTCGAAGAAAATTGTTCCTGATTTTAAAAGGTGCAACAATAAATTTGAAAAAAAAAGCTTTTATTCCAAATCCTAATACATCTAAAACGTTTTATAATTGCAAACTTTGACAAGCAAATGATATACGGGTGGTGATGGAATTGAAATAGCGGCGGAAATTTACAAAATGAAACATTTCAGCCTGAACCCTTAATTTCTGTCAACACGATGCTACCGAAAATCCAAACTGCGTCCAAATGCAAGGAGGGAAAGATGACTGACGGTGAATGTCCAAAAAGCCTTGATGGACAGTGCAGTGACCTCATGAAAATAGATGCGAGGTGGTTTTGTACCTGCAGCCTGAAAGTTCATTTGAGTTTTTCACTTAACAATCGTGAAGCGCTCGTAGCAGGTCTGTACTTATGCCCTCCTCCCGAGCAAATGGGTGGCAGCAATGCATTTCATTTGAAAGCCTCTCTGAAAAGAACACGCTGTTAGGAGTTGATAGGCACAAATAAGTTTAAAGTTTCTTTTAGGTAACTTCCTTGCCTTAATATATCCACATTTAAATCCCTCGAAATCACACCTGCGAAAGTGACATCTCATGCAAACACCAGGCTCTCAATTCTGGAACAACTACAACCTCGCTCTTCATAAATTTTTTTACCTCCTCTAAGCAAAACAAGTTGACAAGTTTTGCTATTTTTCAGTTAAGCTAATCCATTTCCCGACAGTTGTTTTTGCAACACGAAACAAAAATTCTCGAGACCTTTAAAATGCGACGGTTTTCATGGTTGGTCACTCACGGCTATCCAATCGAGGTAACGATGTTGTCTTGTCGCGCTCCATGGGCCACGGCGCGCCGTGGATAAAAAGAGCCTTCGTTTTTAGTCTTAGGACTGTGTAAACAAATATTCTAAAGCATTTTTTTCGTTTTGACAAGCCAAGAATCAGACCAATGAAAGCAGCTGAATACAGGTTTTGCTTATTCGGGGTGTCTGTAGGTTATTTACGTACCTTAGACGTTATTCAGTGCTGTTTTTATTTTTCTTACAGAAAAGTTTGTTATTCGGTAGTTTGTTTTTTTTCACTTTACTTTATCAAGCTTCAAATTGCCGTGTCTGCAAAGATGTTTTTGCTTAAAGCAACTTTTAGGCCTGTCAAGATTACCTTTATTTAATTTGACTCACCCCTCGGCTTTCATAAGGGCTGAGTTTCTCTCAACATGGCTTGTTGTTTGCAATTAAACGCATTTAACGCATTTGGCAACTGCTGCCAATAAGCCATCTCTTTTTTCTACAAAGCAACTTTCAACATTACATCATGTAACTTTAAGGATATGAAGATATCCTACTATTTGCAATGTGAAATTTAACCTCAATCATCTAAATTTTGCCACGTTTGGCTTTTTGTTAAGTGAATTGCGAATAAAAGTTACCATATGCAGGAAGCGGTGAAGCACAAGTTAAAAATTATGCTTTGTAGATCTTCGCAACCTAACTGAAGAAAACGCTCGATTGCTTTATTTGCAGTCAGACAGCTTTTGCAGAATCTAGTTATACGAAAATTGATTGGTTACCAAGGTCATGGCCTAAGTAGCGTGTCTTTGTCAGGTAATAATGACGACCACAATCTGAGTCATCTTTTCGTAATTGCTAATACATTTGACCAACTAAGTGTAAAATGTCCACTAAATGTTTTGTCATTGAATTTCTTATCAAAACGTTGTGCTTTTTATACAAGTTCCGTTTCGTGAGTAAAATGAAAATCGCAAAAACCTTTGTGCATCAATGTGTTCTTACATAGCTTAATTACTAGTGGCATTTCGTTAAGATTAGGGGGTTACGTGAATGTTAAGCCAGTAATTTAGTTTTTTTCTAACACGGTCGACCATTCGATGTTAAAATGGGCGTTTCTAGTTAAGCGAGATTTAAAATGATCACCACTCGCAGATTACTGAGCTTTGAATGGACCTTTAGCAAAATCCCTTCCGCCAGTCCAACAGGAGCCCTTTTCTGCTTATTTTGTTTTAAATCTGATAGGGTGGCAAACGATATCCCCTACTCTCCAATATCGTGGCAAGACAAACTTTCACTCAACGAAATCGTGAAATAAACGTAGACTTTGAAAATATCTTGGTGCTTTCAATGAATCTTTGTGTCGAACCCAGTCCAAACTGAATTTCGTGTTTCAATAAGTAAGTGGATATGCCAATGCTTTCACTTAATCATTACCTTTCAGAGAATTCAGAAACCCATGGTGCTTAATCGCAATTTAGACAGCAGGGTATTATTTACGCTTACAGATCCGATTTACTCCAAAGGTCACCTTACAATGCTGGGGTCCCCGATAAAACTCGACACTTCTTGAAAAATAGGCGACGGATTTTCTTGAAGGCATTGCATTACCTGATCACCATTCAAAGACGTATGTGAGGAATGTCTAGGGTCCGGTGAAAAGTGCTTCCTTTACAACCGTTGCTGGGTTGATTACCCATTTTAGCCTCAGATTAGTCTTTAACGGAAAGGATAAGTAATTTCGAAGTCGCTCTGTCGTATCGTTCCTGGGAAACCCTCACAGCATAATTAATAAACACAAATCTGGATGAATCCTTTGATTTCTTGTTTCCAAAATCGTTCCTTTGCGGTTTCTCCGGACTGTGAAGTAAGGTGAACTGTGATTCTGAAATTGTAAATAAAAATTGTGTTACACGAAAGGAGGTGGGTTTTTCTGCAAAGCACGTGCCCATGAAATGTCAAGTTGGAATTAACTTAACTACAACACAGACCTTGTTTTTCAGCAAAGTGTCTATGATTTTTAAGAGATGGCAAGATTTTGGTGGGTCTGTTAGACAGTTGACCGAGGAACAAGCTTCTGTGATTGTGGTGACATTTCCAAGGAATGTGTCTAGTGATGACTTTAAGCAAGCACTGCCTAAGTTCAAAAATAGGGGTAATTTCTCCAAATTAATGCCCAATTGAGCCAATGCGCATTACATCATGCGCAGCCAGGAATCTCGAGGGCCTTCCATGCACTATGGAGTTTGTTTGGTAATTTGTCAATGTCCTTTACATATACGGCAGTCTGGCGGCGCATTCTCATGGGTTACGTGTTCACTACACTGATTGACGGATGGTGCTCTGGTTGTGATGATTCTGCCTATCATCAGTGAATCCCAACCCCCTCTTCGAATAGCCATTCATCGGGCATCCCGGTAGGAAATCCTTGTGTGAATTCATTGAAGGGAGTATTAGCACCACTGTCACAATGTGGTCAATGTAACTCAATGGATACATCAGGTTAATTAAATAATTGATAACAAGCATGCAAAATGCTTGCCCACGTAGTTCCGATCTTCAGCTCGTAACCATACAGATTTACTATAAAAATAAGAGCTACTTTTTAAAATATTGGAATTTGGAATGACATTGGTGACACTGAATATTTAGAGGATATTATGGGCGGCAAGATATGAAGACTTTACTGAATTAGTAAAGTAGGGTTAGCCATGCTCATCTTCAAAAAACGAGCTTTTAGCGTTAATGTGGAACTTGTCCACGACTACTACTCTGGAAGCCTGCGATTGCTGCTAATTTTCAAAATAGACTTGTAGGTCTACTCAACTTGGTGCATTCATCAGCTTGACCTCAAGGCTATTCTGCTTTAGCTTATTCCTAAGCAAACTTATGAGATTTAGCAAAAGTGAAAACAACAGTTGAAGTACCATGATATTGCCTATTTGAACCACTTCTTTGCAACACTTTAAGTCTAG